ATTTAAACTGGGAAGTCCATTTTCTGTTTAATTCTTTTTTTCCATGTAGAATCTGGCAGCTGTTTTCACTTAACGTATTTGAATTATTTAAATTTTTGTTTACATGTATTTTAGATATGAGTCTATAAGAAATTTTTTATACTAGTATATCTTCTTAATAATTGAACGATGTGAACCTCAAGTAACAATTTCCCCCCCAAAATTAGTGTTTAGAAAGAGCCATGAAGTTTGCGTTTGAAGAGTTCCATCTCTGGTATCAGTTTGCATTGTCCTTGATGGCAGCAGGAAAAGTAAGTCTTAATTTTTTGATGTAATTCTTGTATTGATAGTTTTTGATAACAACATTTGGCATTTCCATAGTTTTCATCTGTAGTGTTCTTGAAAATAATTCTAATCCTAAATCAGCTATGTACACTCTACTCCTGAATTTATGCCTAGTGCTGTACAAAGAATGTTGTTATTTCAATAGTTTCTAACTTAGGAAGACTGAAAGGTGATGATAAGAACTCTCTTGCCAACAGGCTTAAGCTGAGCTAGTTGAATGTAGGTAGTGAATTATAACAGATCATGTTATCCAGTAACAACTTGATTAAGTGCTGTTTTGATGAAGAAATTTTATGCTTAGGTACAAGTTAATGCTGATTCATGACGCTCTGCCTAACGAAGTTTTAAATGCATCTCAAAACTGTTTTCTGAATCATATACCACTGGAATTACATTCTGAGCAAATGTTTCACTGGGGACACTAAGTGGTAGTTCATAGGGGTTAAATAGCAACAGCAGTACCTAAAGTCTTGTGTTTCACTTACGTGAGAGGTTGTGACAAATTGTCAACAGAATGTTTGGTAATGTCTCCTTCACCTGGGAAAAATAAAGTAAATTATGGAAATAGGAATCTTCTATCTGTGAAATATATTTACATTTTTATTAATTTCAATGGAAAATGTTTTTAACAGTCTGCTCGAGCTGTTAAAGTGTTGAAGGAATGTATACGTTTGAAACCAGATGATGCAACTATTCCACTCCTTGCTGCGAAGCTGTGTATGGGATCTCTCCACTGGGTAAGCTTTGCCACTCTTTGTCTTTGCAGCAAGAGCTGTGCTAAAATATAACAAAATCTTGCTTTAGAGATGTAGAAAATACTTTTGCATAGTGACTACGTGCACTTGGTCATCTCTGAAAATAGAGCACAAATACATATATGCACATGTGCATCCCTGTTTGCATGGCAAATTTTAAATACTTGACATCAATGATTATGTATATCAAGGTAGCATATCTTGATACTGATCTAAGACACAGCTAAAAATTTATTAGAAATTGAAACATTGTTGGCATTCAGAGATTAAAAATGCAACTTAGACTTCTGTTTCCTCTGTGCAAGAGGAAAGTAACTTTTTTTGCTAAGATAATGAGACAGCTCTATTATATTCAAGAGGCTCTTCTGGTGATACCGTGTTTGCAGGCAGCTGGGGCTTTTGAATTCCTGGTAGGGACAGTGTCTTTTTAAAAAGTGTTACTTTAGTTGTGTTTCAGATAACCTTGAAATTGGTGTATCTGTACAAAAGAATGTTAAGGTGATTGAAGAACCTCGTGTGTTTTTCAAGATCTGTGTGTAATTTTTAGAAGAATTAATGTATTTTAAAAGGGAGGAAAAGAGGAGGGAAAGATCAAAATCAGAAATTAAGAAAATATGACAGAAGCAGAAACATAACTTGCTGAGGCTGACAAAAATGATCTTAATAATTAACGTAGATCCAAGTTCTGTGAATTGTTCCCTATGGATTGACTCCATATGGAGTAGCTTACTGTACTTAGCATTTACATTTACTGGAATGGATTAAAATGTTATTTTTTTTTCTTTCTAGATTGCTAAATAGTGTGCTAGCGTAGGTGTGCAATTAAAAACCCTGATTTTTTACATGTTTCTCTATTCATGAGTTCACATACGTTTAGCAATACTGTATGCGATGTAGAGTTCTGCATGGCTATGCTTTTTTTTGCAGGGTTGGATCCATAGTTCTTGATTTTCCTAAGTAAATAGTTCATGGGGTAAGAACTCTATGAAATGCAAAAATGGTAGATGGCATATATGGACCAGAAATAGCTTTTTTATTTAAAAAAAATAAAATGAAATAAAGGCAAAACCACAGGAAGTTTAGAATGATCTGTATGTTATGTGCCAGAGATCCTCTCAACCACAGTAATGGTTGCTTCATCTTAAATCTGTGTTCTCTACAGAGTGTTTGGCAGGGAAACTAAGTCTAATGAAAAACAAAATTAATGAAAAACAAGGTAGTACTTAAAAGCAATCGTGGCTGAGATTTCTACAGACTTAGTGTACGTAATACACATGCTGTGCATTGTTCTCATAATGTAAGCTTTAGCTATTTTTAGACTTACATAGATGTTTTATAATATTTTCAGTTGGAAGAAGCTGAAAGATTTGCCAAAGCAGTTGTTGATCTTGGGGATAAAACATCAGAGTTCAAAGCAAAAGGCTACTTGGCACTGGGACTGACTTACAGTCTGCAGGCTACTGATGGTAAGTGTGGTGGGTTGACCCTGGCTGGATGCGAGGTGCCCATGAAAGCTGCTCTGTCACTCCCCCTCCTCTGCTGGACAGGGGAAAGAAAATATAAAGAAAGGCTCATGGGTCGAGATAAGGACAGGGAGAGATCACTTAACAATTACCATCATAAGCAAAACAGACTCAACTTGGGGAAATTATTTTAATTTATTACCAATCAAATCAGAGTAGGATAATGAGAACTAAAACCAAATCTTAAAACACCTTTCCCCCACCCCTTCCTTCTTCCCAGGCTCAACTTTACTCCTGATTTCTTTACCTCCTCCCCCCAAGCAGTACAGGGGGACAGGGAAAGGGGCTTGTGGTCAGTTCATCACCGCTCCTTCCTCCTCATGGGGAGGACTCCTCACACTCTTCCCCTCCTACAGCATGGGGTCCCTCCCATGAGAGACAGTTCTCCATTAACTTCTCCAGCATGAGTCCTTCCCACAGGCTGCAGCTCTTCATGGACTGCTCCAGCATGGGTCCTTTCCATGGTGAGCAGTCCTTCAGGAACAGACTGCTCCTGTGTGAGTCCTCCATGAGGTCACAAGTCCTGCCAGAAAACCTGCTCCAGCATGGGCTTCTCTCTCCATGGGTCTACAGGTCCTGCCAGGAGCCTGCTCCAGCACGGGCTCCCCAGGGGAATACAGCCTCCTTTGGGTCCATCCGCCTGCTCTGACCTAGGGTCCTGCATAGACTGCAAGTGGATATCTGATCCACCATGGACCTCCATGGGGACAGCCAGCCTCACCACAGTCTGCAGGGAAATCTCTGCTCCAGGACCTGGAGCACCTACTGGCCCTCCTTCTTCACTGACCTTGGTGTCTGCAGAGTTGTTACTCACATATTCTCACTCCTCTCTCCATCTGCAAATGTGCAGGGGGTTTTTTGTCCCCCTTCTTAAATATGCTATCCCAGAGGCACTGCCACCGTTGCTGATGGGCTCGGCCTTGGTCAGTGGTGGGTCCATCTTGAAGCCAGCTGGCAATGGCATGGGGGAAGCTTCTGGCAGCTTCTTTTCAAGAAGTCAGCCCTATGCCCCCCTGTTACCAAAACCTTGCCATGCAAACCCAACACAGTAAGATAAGAATAAACATTCAAATTTGGAAACTCACAGTGCCTAAAAAGGGATAGCTAGCAGAATGCTAGACTTAAAATTAAAGCTTCTGTGTGCAACCATTTCTTTCAGTCAATGTATCAAAACTTCCTCAGTGAGCATGTGGAATGAAATCTCTTGATCTTGTATAGCACTGATTAAATATATCTTTTTCAGCATCTTTGCGAGGGATGCAAGAGGTCTTGCAGAGAAAGGCTCTTCTTGCATTTCAGAGGTGAGTGGGTGTTAATCTTTTCATTTCATTCTGCTGTATGCAATGAAAAGCTTCATTATGTGTTAAAAAGTGGGACTTGTAAAAGATTGTGTAATGAGAATTTCACCTCTGGGAGTCTCCCTTCATGAATACAGAATGTATTTCTTTAGCACTTACTTCATCATTTTCTGTCAGAAATATCTAAATTGATTTCTAAGGATTTCCTTTTACTTCATTTTAAAGTCATTTGTGGGGCTCTCTAGTATAAAATATTTGCTCAAAGGAGTATTCTGTTCTGATCTAAAAGGGAAAATGGTATGATGCAAGGTTTCAAGTCATGCTTCAATGTGATAGTGTTTCTAGAAGAGTTGGTCACTGATCAGATTGTGTAGCAGGCTTTTGCAATTATCTCTGTAGAGGCAGAGTGATAATTCAGGCCCTGCTGCTGTGGATGAGGGATGAAATGCAGGAAGTAAAGTAGCAAGCTAGGGAGAAAAAGAAAAATTTCTATCTGGAGATGTAACAGCATCAGCAGTGACAATGCAAGTGCCCCCTCTTCCAAGTGCCTTACACAGAAGTAACACTGTTGGGGATGACAGTAGTTCATTCTCAAGGTTTGACTCTGCAAACAAAATGACAATAAACAGGTGAATGAGAACGTCTCTGCCCTAATTGTAGAAGAAACGAAAATATTGATGGCAAAGCTGTCAGAAGTGCTGTGACATCTGTCTCTTTTTCTGTTTATATACCCTTGAAAACCCCACTTCAGTGAGCTAGGCCTAAATGCTTCAGGGCAACTGATTTGTGCATTAGTGTGAGGTCTGGGATTTTTGTTGGTGATTTTGTGACCGAGGGGGTAGGATTGAAAAAGTGTTTTGCAGCTGACTTTAGAGTGAGGCTGGTGTGTATTGATCCTTCTGTGATCAGTCCATCCCTGTTTCAGAAATACTGTGCTAACTGTTTCTCACTGTTTCTACCCATTCACTACTTTGGAGGTTCTTCTAGTGATTTGCTTCCTTCTGCTGATTCTTTGAAACAACAAAGGATGAAATGAACCATAACCTGAAGCTAGTCCATTCCAGTTCAGTGCCTGCTGATTCTACCCTCCAGATCAGTATTGTGATTCACAAAATTCTGAGAGTCGTTCCCTAGTATCAATCTGTCTGGAAAATTTCTTTTTTCTGATGTTTGAGGTTGTGCAGCATTTTGACCACTTGTAAATATGAGGATGCTCTTGTACTGCTTATTGTGGTAATATTTTGTTAGGTTGCTCTAGAACAAGAATAAGTGGTTTGAGTTAAAATAGAAGAAGCAATACACAGTAGGTTAGGAGAACTATTTTTCAAATTATATTCAATTTCTTACCACTGCTAAATTACTCTTTCATGCTCTCTATTCAAAACTTGTTGCTTGGTTGTGTTATGTCATCTTTCACCCAAGAACTTTTCTGTTTCATTCTCTACAGCTGAACAGTAAGCCTCTTGATATCTTCTTAACTGTTCAGTTTTGAAGACTTTCTAGCAGTGAATAGTGCCAGCTGAAATCTAAAAACTTATCAGTGAACTATTACAGATGTCCTTGAGCTAGATGGGCTGAGTGGAGCTTCCGTTTTGTAGTGATATGGAGCTTTGAAATATTTGTGCTAACTAGCAGAATATAAATTTATACACAGAAAGTCTTGGGAATATGAAGATTAATTGCATCTGATTTCTATACATCTTTCTCATGTTTTGGGGTTTTCTTTGTTCTTTTATTTTTCCAGTTGATAACAACCTCCTAGAAACAACGTTTTTTATTTTTAAGTGCATGTTCCAGGATATTAATGTTAAGTTACATGTTCATCCTTCTTGCTGGCCTTTCTCAACATGAACTTGTACACAGGCTTTTAATTGAAGTATCTTTTGAAGGTTTTAGTAATGTGCAGGTTATATGCTTTGAAAACTCTAGTGAATTGCTAACATTACTGTTAATGATATTGCTGATATGAGTAGCTCAGACTCCACACAGAATCTTGAGTAGGATGGTTTGGCCCTGGAAAAGAACAGAGTTTCTGCATATAAAAAAATCCCATAGCTACCTTCTAAGACAAGGGAAAAAGTATGTTTTGAAAGGTATTTGTTCTGCATATTAACATGTTTCCTCACTTGTGTTCATAGAGACACTCACACCTCATAGATCAGCTGTACTGGAAATACAGTTCAATGTGGTTGCTAATGTTGTTGATTCCTTAAGTTGATAACATAGGTATAGAGTGTAACCAAAAATTTGTTACCACAGAGTGTATGTTATGCTCAGCATACCAGAGTCATGCTCACTTTCTCTTCCCACATCTTAAAAATAAATGTTTTCCAGGAGGTGGAAATTGAAATTCTCCATTAATCTCCTACAGATTATAAAACAGGCAGCTGTAGTGGGCTCAGTATTTTGATCTGCCAGGTTTCTTTGGCATTTTTTTTGTGGGATTTTTAATCACTTACCTAGAGGACCAATTCCTGAAGAAACAGAGATTCTGTAGAAGTACAGTTATGTTTTGGACCCTTGCCTATACCAGATTTCAAGGCTACCAATTTGTGATAGTGGCTTTTTGAGAAGGTGCTTGTTGCTGTCTTTGCACAGTGCTGAGGGGGTGTTTGTTTCACTAACTTTTTTTTCTTTTTTTGGAAGACTTTCAGTGCTTTTCCTGTGGTTGATGTGAATTGAAGATTCACAGAACTCACCAAATGGTTGATAGATAGTAACAGCTTTATTCTTTCACTAATTGAAGCCTGGTTGATTCAACAAGTACGCTCTAAGTTAAAATCTCTTGTTCTCATTTAATCTTGATTAATTTGTGAACTTAATTTTTAAAAAGGACTGGTTCTGCACCTTCTTAGGCTTTGTATTTGACTCCAATCTCCAATTTAGAGATAATTTTAACAAAATGTTAAACTGTCATGTAATAACTTAAACTACTTTGATACATGTTGGGTATAGTTGCTAAACTAATGGAGCTGTCTCTTCAGACTTGAAGGCAGAGGTTCATGATGAGCCACATCTTATGCCGCCTTTTACTCTAATGCTATGATAAGGAAGCTGTTCAGCTTAGGTTTCTTTTACATGGCTACATAGCAAGGTGCTCTGCTAACTTAATCTCAAAGCAACTCAAAGCCAAGAAGTAACTGGCTTTCTAGGAGACTTTGTGTGCTGGGCTAAAAATGTGCTTAAACTTTGGGAGTCTGAAAAATGAACAAAACTCTGATATACTTTGCTACTAATCTTCCTCTTTGAATTCTGTGCTTCAGAACCACCCTGGTCAGTGTTGGTGTGATTGCTTGGGTAATTCTTGGGTAGATTACACAATTCTTACCTTTGAAGGCATGTTGTTTTGGGGGATTTTTTGTTTGGTTGGGTTTTTTTTTCCCTTTTCTTAGATAATTATATGTATTGTTTGTTTAGGAGTATATTTTAATTGAAGAATCATTTTGTATTGCTAATTTTTAAGATTTATACTGAAATTACATAATTTCTATTAAAAATGACATAATTATTTTCTCTTAAAAGTGACAGAAAAGTCACTGGAATTAACACCACTTATATCAGAATATGAGCATACGTGTAATGAAGAGGTCTGAATATGGGTACATGTATGTGCGGTTCTGTGTATGTCTAACCTGTATTAACAGGGGAAAAATTCACTGTTTTTCTGTTTTGTTTCTTTGTTTTTAAGGGCTCACAGTTTGTCTCCAACAGATCACCTGGCAGCGTTTTACTTGGCCCTGCAGCTTGCCATATCCAGACAGGTTAGTCACAGCCTTACACTGTCATCATGAAGATGAGAGTTTATATCTGTTGATGGATACAGATGAAGATTTCGTCAACAAAAGCCTGGTTTTCCTTGTCCATATATGCATAGCTATGGAAAAAAAATGCTGAAATATTATCTCTGAACACCTTTAGTCTTATACACTTCTCCAGAGTTCTGCCACAGTATTTTCAGCTCTAGGATTAGAAATAAGACTAAATAATTCAATTTATTTCTTTTGGCATTTATGGTGCTGGATGGAGAGAAAAAAAAAGTCAGTTTACACCCTGTTTTTACCTATTATGTGTAATCACTGCTCAGACTGGTTGTCTGGAGAGTGAGACTTTTGAATCTAGCCTTTAATGATCTTGACAGTGCTTAAATCTTGAGTATCTGCTAAGATCTGTACTTTTTCTGAGTACTTGTAGGAGGTTTGGTTATTGTAAAAGAAATTACATAAATGTGCTTAAGAAAACTGGAAAATACTTTAAAGCTATAAAAGAGAGCTCAGTCCAACTTGTACAGCTGTTAGGTTTAAGGGATTTAGGATTCTACCATATAAAATCTGGATAATGTGGAGCTGCTTTGTATATGTCACAGTAAGCCTTTTCCTGTGTCATGTTTATTTTAGGAAGTAGTTTGGAGCGCAGTAGTTTACATATTCTAGGTGACTACTTTTCATTGCTAGTGCATAGCAGAGACATTGGACTATGTCACATTAGAGTGGAATGGATTGTCACTTTAATAACAAAATATTTTTCAGTAGCAGGCTATGACTCTGTACAAACATCTCATGTTGCTTAATTAAATTTCCTGGTTTTAACACTTAGTGTACTTATTTTGAGATCATGAAATTCCATGTGAAAAGAAGTTACTGTTGCAGTCTAGCTGTACATTTTAATTAATGTATTACAATAAAATATTTTCAAAATCATATAGAAATACAATCAATACAACCACTACTTGAAAAAGAATAGTAAGTGAATATTTTAAAGGGCTGAAGGGAACTGTTTTAGTTAAACTTGTATCTTATTTTCCAAGACTAATATATTATTTAATTTTTACTGTTCACTGTAGAGCATCAGGTCTATTTTAAACTTCTGAGTAGTGTCTTACAGGAGTCTGTAGAATTCTACATGGTATCCAGATGAATATTTTGAAATGTTATGAGCTTGCAATCAGGTACTAGGCAATACTTCTAATAGTGGTGCTTTCTTTTTCTGCCTTTTTTTTTTTTTAATCAGATACCAGAAGCTTTGGGTTATGTTCGTCAGGCTCTGCAACTACAAGGAGATGATGCCAACTCTCTTCATCTCCTTGCACTCTTGCTATCAGCCCAGAAACACTATCATGATGCTTTGAATATCATTGATATGGCCTTGAGTGAATATCCAGAAAATTTTATGTGAGTGAATGTCGTGTTTGCTTTCTACACTTTCTCTCATATTTGTTTTTCTTAGATTCTCATCTCATTCATTTCAAGATGGGGTGAATTTGAAGATTGGTCTGGTTTTTTCTCCAACAGTGTTCCCCCCTCCCCATTTAATGCGAGTGTGCTTTTTAGTAAGGGCTTGTTAAATAGTGATTAAGGATTTGGTTTTGGAATTGAGGCTAGAGCTGGATAGTTGATCTTACTTTGTCTTTTTCTACAGATTCTTTGTCTACAGACTCCCTGTTACGTGCTTGAGTATTTTTTTTCTGTCTTCTGTTTTTATGCAACATTCTAAGAAGGATAATCGGGACTTTACTATTAGCTAGGATACATTTATTCCATCCTACAGATAACTCTCTGCATATTGTATTGAATCTGTTCTGTAAAATATATCATAACAGAGAATCTCCTCTTTTGCCTGTATAATAACCAGTCATCTGAAGTTGGCTGATGGATAGCTAAACAACTGAACAGGGAAGAAGCACGATTGGTAGATGTTCTCTTGTTGTTTAAGAAAGAAATCATTCTTTGTGTTTATTCTTCACATTAAGTATATCTTAAAATACATTTAGATTTTGTCCTTTTGTAAGGTTTATTTTTTAAATTTATTTTCTTACAAAAATCTAATGAAACACTTCACAGCAAAATATCTTAAGGACAGCTTCCATTAACTTCCCCTGTTCTGTTACGATGCTTTACCAACCGTCACTAAGGTTGTCATCCATAGTATTATAAAGATCCTAAATGTTTATTTAGACAATTTTTTGAATTAACTCAACCTTTAACTTTTAAATGACTGGCCTGTATCATAAGTTGTTACTATATCAACATACTAGAAAAATATGATCTTTAAGAATTATTAGTGTGAAAATAGGGCTTACAGTGGTTTTCCTTCTTGTTCCTTGACATTTCATACGTCCTTTTGGCTGTCTATATAAAGTACTGTTGCCTTTTTCCTCATAAATCTGACCAGGACATCTGCTGATATCACCTCTCCTTAGATCTGCTGTGGCTTGCAGCCAGTTCTGTGCAACTGCTTTTGTGGTTTTTTGCTGTTTCTCACTTCCTAATTTATTCACACACATATAAGTCATCTCTGTTCTTATTAGGGGCTTCCACACATGCTTCACAATTTCAGAACTATCTAGCAGTTCCTCTCTCAAACCTGTCTGTGCTTTCCTCAGCCTGAGGAACCTGTCAGTAAGTCATGGTTTGAGAGGCAATTGAAGTAGCCTGTTATTGTTAAAAACAAATATGTTCAAAGCACCATGATCTGTCATCTTCTATCTGTTCTTGGTTCTTCTTCTGCCACTTAGTGGCAATGTAAATGGCAAAGAAGAAGTGGCTATATCTCTCAGAACAATAATAGTCTAGAAGAATTATTTCTGAAACTGCAGTTCTCCCTGTTGTAATAAGAGAACAAAGGATCATTCAGTAAACTGTTTAAAATTGCTCATATGAGCATTCAAAAGGTATTTATGGGTTTTCCAATATGGTTCATGGCCTTTCCATACTTGTTGATAACTGCATCTTGTGGTTAAACATGTTACCCAAGTTGTTTTAAAAAATACTTATCTTTCTCTTAATATATGTATGTATATTAATCATGCGGTTCATAATGGTGGTTTTAAATTGTCAGTCCTGGTACACAACACAAACACCGTGGTGATGCCATGTTAGAACCTCCTGGTACAGATCAGGGAATTTGAGAAGAATATCATGGCAGTAGGAATTGCCATCAGATGAGACAATTGCTGAAGACTCCAAGGTGAAATACAGCTGTATGTGTATCTACATACAGCTTTTATGTACTTTTAATACTGGGTTTTAGCGCCGTCAGGTTACTTCTAGTTGCCAGAAAATTAAGGATAAGATTGAGATTCCTTGTGTGCTCCTTGCAGTTGATACCGTCAGCCAGACAGATACATCTGGTCAGTAATATAAATTCGGATTGATTCCTTCATGTAACTGGGTTAGTTTTGCAAGGATTTATCAGCAAAACTTCAAGTTTACAATCTGTTCTTGCACACTATATCCAGTGCTCTTGAAATGGTTGACTGTGTATGTGAGTATATATAAGATATAAATCACAAATGCTTAGTGTATTGTTGATTATATTTTCTTATTCTGCAACTTCTATAAACAGTGCAATCTCATGGTATTTCCTAGCAGACTGGGAAGAGATCCTCTTGTGTTCCTCTAAGGCTTGCTAATTTTTGGATATACTGAAACGATTGATTGTTTGCCTATGGTATTTCATTGGCTTTTGTAAACACTTCAAATATAATGATGTTTTATGTTTTATCTTTTGATTGTGTCTGCAAACCCAGTAAGCTAAATAGTACAAGACTTTTCTTGGTATTCTCTGTATTTCTGTTAGAATGAATCTGTTACCTCAGCCTTATGCAAAATGATACTTCAGTAGCTTTGCAACATAATAAATCTCTATACTTGGAAAATATTAGAGTAAAACATAGGGTTTGTGATTTAGGTTATTTCTTATTTCTTTTATTGTTATTCTTATCTGCATACAGAGCTCTGTATGCTGTAATTGCATTGCTGCACTGACTGCTGTCCTGCCCTGTTCACAGCTGTATGGTTTTTGTTTTGCCTTTCTTTGAAAAGAATATAAATTTTCAGAAGTTTATAATACTACATCTAAAATGCCAGAGATTGCAAGGAAGTCATAGAACACACTGTGAGTCATGCTGAGAAGTGTATACTTTCCAGTGCTCTTCTGTTGTAGCCAGTTAGTAAATATGTTACCTGTCAGTTTTTAACCTTTGAAAATCTGATGCATTCCTAGAATTCATATTTGAGACATATGGCAAGCATACCTGCCTATCTTAAATTAGTGTTAACATTCCTGCACTCTAAGCTGGAAAGTTGCTGATCAAACATGGCCAATCAGATAATGACTTTGCCCCATGCACCTCTAGGTCAGTAAGTAGAAAGAAGTTCCTCAGAGCCAAAGACTTCTGTCCCATCATTGTCTGAAGGAGTGGAAGGAATGATCAATCATCACATTGTGCTGAGACCTTAAGGAGTATAGGAAAAACTCTTGGTGAAAATCTAAGAAACCTCTAAAAGTGGAATAGGTATGTAGTAACATTTTCCAGAAATAATCAAATAGCTATAGCACTATAATTTCAAACTTTTTGTAAGCTTAAAATGCTACGTTGTAACTACTCTACTTATAAACAAGTTACCTGTGTTTTTCAGATCAGTCTACTTTTAAATGCTAGCTAACCTCTTAAGCCTCCTGAAATCTGAGTGTACTTTGTTCCAGGTACAAAAAGATTTCTAGACAAACAATTAATAAACAGATTAAGATTACTGAAAAGGTTATTAATAACCTGCTCTAGAGAGATGGGTGGAAGTAAGGTGCCAGCACCAAAAATCTGAATAGTTAATCTCAGTCAGGTTTTACAGTATTTGAATTCATCTGAAGTTACACCCACCCACCTTTCATTAGGCAGCTTGTCCCTGTAGTAAAAATGTGAAGGTCAGATCTTCTCCAGCTTGATAGGATTTGAACCCACAGATGATGCAGCTCAGAGTCCTGACTATCAAACTAAATGGGAGATTGGGTGAGATGATCCATCTCTCCTATGAAAAAGAAGCAGGGACATGCTGCCCTGAATGCAAAGAGAGTAGGCAGGAAAAAGCCACAATATATCCTAAATTACTAGAGTACTTAACTGTGAGGGAGGCTTGAGGTCTTAGCTGCTTGGGTTTTCCTTGAATTTTATTTATTTTAATCCAGTGATTGCCTACTCTGAACGTATAAGCAGTCCCAGAGATGTGTATTACAGTCTGAAAGTGTATTGAAAGTGATGCAAGTGGTTGCATTGCATTGGTTTGTATTGGGCTTGTATATCTTGTGCAATATATATATAGAGAGTACAGTTATAGGTGCGATTACCTTAACAGCCGATTACCTTAACAGCCTTATTTACATACTCCTTTCCGTGACTCTCTCCTGTCTTTTTTGTCTGCTTGTTATGAGGAATCTATTGAATGATATAAAATCTTGAAACAACACTTCTGTCTGTTTCTAATTCGTGGTTAGTCAAAAGTAGATTCTCATTCAAGGGAGACAGAGTTAGGTTTCTTAATGAAATACTTGTGATGTTTTCTTAATCTTAACTGTTTGGGGTTCCCTTGTTGTTTGAAGTGTTGGGGCACTCAAAAGACAGGTTTAATGCCTGAAATTAGTGTAATTAGGCAAAATAAATAAAGAATATTAATTGCTAATTTTATACTGAAAATTGAACTGCAATGGATAGCAGCTGACAAGCTTTTAAAGTAGCAGAAGTAGGGAACAGCAGATGGGTTATTTGAGGAGTGCAAGCTTGTTATTTTAATGTTAAGCACACTCAAAAAGGAAAGACATATGGTAACAGGTTTGAAGACAACTGAAGACTAAGTTCACAGTTTAAACATTTACATTTGTTGAAGTGTGATGGAAATTTTTTTCTTCCAAAAATATTTCACAGAAGCATCAGGCCAATATGTCACTCCTCTGAAAACTATTAAATCCTTTCCTTCTTGACCCTTAAGGGCTCTTTTGAGCTACAGTAGATTTCCCAGCATCACAGAGGCTTTTAACATCCCTCTCAGTTCATTGATTAACAAACTTTTTTCCTTCTGGGAGTTGTCCATGGGGCCATAACAGAAGAACTGGTTGGTACATGCAGTGTACAGTGATACATAGACCAGTGTTTTGTGGGACAGAGGTGTCAATTAAAGGGAATAGACTACGCTATTCTGTTTTCCCAAGGTTGGTTGTAGTTGCAGTAGTGTGCAGTGCTGGTTAAACTGGCACTTCTTTTTTTTTTTCCTTGATAAATAGACCACTGGGAATTATTTGAGGAAAGGGCAGTAATATATGGTTGAATAAGAAGTAGAGATTTGCTAGACTTGCCAAAATAATGTCTTTCATGTTTGTAAGTCATGAAAGACAGTATCAGTTATTTGTGTTTTTTATTTTCGTACCGGGCTTGTCTTCCCCACCCCCCCCGCCTTTGGTTTTTTTTAATGTATTTTTATAGAACAGTCCATTAAAAAAGACATTGTTGATAGGTAGATATTACTTTATATAACAAATTGGTCATTGGCCTCAGGGTATTATCCCTGAATTACATTTGCTAGGCA